GAGAGAGGGGCAGGAATAAGTGAGGGGCACGCATGAGAGGGCAGAGACTGAGGAATGCAAAAGTGACCCATAAACGGATATGTAGCATGAAATGATGTATGGGTTGAGGTATGGGACTAGGTAATGCATAAGGCTTGTGAATGGCGACGAGGGGGAGACAATGGTAGTGGAACCGTTGATGATTGAAGTGGTGTTGAGCGAGGACTTATATGGGTGGGGTTAAAGTGACAGGTGCAATGGTTGAAGCTGGGTGAGTGGAGAACTTGGAGATGTAGAACGAGGGACAAGGGTGGAAAGTGATATGGAAAGGGGATACGGGATGGAAAATGGAGGGGTTGAGAAGTACAGGAGGAGGTTAGGTGCGGGGGAGGAGGGGAATGGGGAACGGGAGGAAGAAAACGGAGGGGCGTAGGTGGTTGGAAGGACCTATGCGACAGCGGTGATGATATGACAAACACTGAGTCCGGTATGTGGGTAAACGGTTAAGCTGGTGTTACAAGGATTGTAAACATCTACATTTAACAACGAATAAACTCAGACATGCACTTAACGTGGCGGGAACTCAAACAATTTCTGAAGTGCCTAAAACTTGGGGAGGATTCGGCTGCAGCAGTCCAGCCGGTAAGAAGTTGCCCCAACAGAGGAGGTGCCCCTGTAGCAAGATCAACAGTATCAAGAGCGCCCCCAATGAATTGAGGCACGTGTAAGTTGCTGCAGTTGTCGAGCTGATGGGAGACAGGAGGGGTGGGGAAGAGGGGAGAAGAGCGGCCGGGAGGAAGGGGGGGAGAAGGAAAGAGAAATGGTTGAAAACTGGGGAGTGGGAAGAAGGTCGCACAGAGGTGTAGCATGTGCGAGTCACTGCAGATGTCTAGATGGTGGAGAGGATAGAGGGAATGGGGATTGTGGCTGTGACAAGGCAGAAGGACACTGGCTGTCGAGTCAGTGCAGATGTCTAGATGGTGCATGGCGGAAGTGGAGAGGAATGGGAGGGGAGGGGGAGGGGAAGGGGAAGGAAAGGGGGGGGAGATAGGAAGTAAAGGGTAGGGAAGGAAAAGGGGAGGGGAAGGGGACAGGAAAGGGAGGGAAAGGAGAGGTCAAGGGAAACAGGAAGTAGAGGGAAATGAGAGGGGAAGGGGAGGACGGTGGAATGAGGGGAAATGGTTTGTTGGCTGGTATATGAAACGAAAGGAAGGTACCTTCCATCCAATGGCCAACATGAACGCCATGCAGACACCATGCTCTGCGAACCCATCCACGCCATGCACACTAATCACACACCATGCGCACACCATGCGCACACCATGCGCACACCATGCACGCACCATGCGCACACCATGCGCACACACCATACATACACCATGCACATACGGCACCATCCACACAACACACCATGCAGAAGACATGCACAATAACTATGCACACACCATGCATACCAATCACACACCTGGTGCGTCACACCATGCACACATCTTGCACAGGCAGACAGCACCCATCCATCTGCCCACCCTACTCAGCACTCATAGGGCTGCAAAGCTTGTACTCATACCTTAGGTTAGGAACATGCTGGTGGCGTCGCTTGCCGTCTCTGCTGCCTCCTTGGCTCGCCTCAGCTGCTCTTCCTGCCTCAGCGTCTCTGGCAGATTGTGTCGCATGCCCACCAACAACACATTGTTAGCGCCGGTGCGCATGAATTGTTTAAGAGAGGGAAAAGGGTGGAAGGAAGGGCTTGCCGGGAGGGGAACGGGTATGCAAGCAGGGTAGTCATGGCGTTTTCATATGCACATGAAAGTATTGTCTGCACCGAGACACATTAGCTGAGTGTGAGTGGGAGAAGGAGAGGGGGTGAGGACGCGAAGGGGGAAGAGGTAAGACAGTAAGGACAGCAATGAAGGCGGACACGGACGGACCCACAAACACATTGTTGACACATCCGGGTGAGAGGGAGAAGGAGACACCAATGGAAGCAGGGATGGGGTCAGAAACACACTGGCAGACAGTTCCAATACATATGTGAGAGTGGGAAGCGAAAGGACGGACGGGAGGGAGGAGGCGGGAGGGGAAGGGATAAGAATGCAATGCAGCAACAGTCATGCTACTCGATACATGTGTCATGTGATGTGTCATTTTATGCTCCACATGCTGAACGACCACAGTACTTACCTGGTACTGATTCGTAGAGGACAAAGGTGGCCCAGCTGAGAGCAAGAGTCCATGGCATGGCCACTGCAGCCATCCGTGACATGGCTGTTACGGCGAGCCCAATGCGAGGCGTGCGCACTGCATGGGGAATTACACTGTGTTTTGGCATCGGCTGGACGTGAGTAGGGTGGGTGGCATGGCACAAAAGTGGATGATGGGCGGAGGAAAGGAATGTGGCGGGGAATGTCGGGAAGGAAGGGGGAAGGGTGGTGGTGGGGAGGAATTAGGGAGGTGGCGCATAATCTCATGTGCCACCCAGGAGGGTGGTCGTTTTCTGATGAGGGAGTGGTAGTAGCAGAGGAGGGAACGGGGAGGGATTTGAAAGGATACGGGGATGGAGGGGCAAGGAGGAGCGGGGTGTTAGGATAGGAAAGGAGGGGATGGATGCGCAGGCGAGCTGGACGTTTGAACACAATCAAATTGAGACATCTTTATTAGATTGATTCGCATTCATCAACTAGCAGGGTCACTCACCCGTGGATAGAGCAACACATACATGCTCAAGCACCCCTTTGCACATGGCATGTGATGGTGCCATGTGCTCGCACCTCTTCATCCCTCACGTGGAGCCGAAGAGCCCCACGTGACCAATACGTAAAGAGCAGAAAACAGCTAACGCCCAAGGTAAAAGGTCGCATCCACGGCTTTTGCTCTTCCCTCCCACGCCCCACTCCTCTCACGCCTTACTCTCCCACCTACTGCGCCCTCCCTCGTGTCTCACGCCCACGATAGACTCTACTGCCACAACCATGCCATGCTGCCTGGCTATGTGTCACAGAGATGAGTGGGATCCTCACGACCAGTACAGGGCAGGGTTTAGGCCGTTGGTGTGGGAAGGGGAAGGGAATGTGGAGGAGAGAGGGAAGAAGGTCGTCGCATACTGCTGAGCAAGAAAGAGGGAGTGGAACAAAGCCGATGACGGCATTGCACAGGGAAAGCATTCGATTTGCCGCATAACCAAACTAGCGCCAACAGAATCAGGCGCCCGATAGGCAAAGAGACGAAAAGAGAGATAGCATGAGAGAGTGATTCAGATCCCTCCATCTACTCCGCTTCTCTCACCTCCACTGCATGTGGCCCTGCCTGTCATCAGCTAAGAAGCCATCCATACGCTCATGGCATGTGCTTGCTCTCACGTGGTTCTTAGAATCCCCGAATGACCAGCGTACAATGATCACAGCGCAGCTAACGCTCACTCACAACGAGTCATGCCACAATACGGCTGCTGCAGCCTCACCCTTCCCACTACCACCTCCATCGTCGCCCCCGTGCATCCACTCTCGTGTAATGTATGGCTCTGCCTGCCACATTGCCTGGCTCCGTGTCGCAGCGATGAGTTGGGCACCTCATGACTGGTTCATGAATGCTGCTGTTGGTGTGGGCAAAGGATGGGAGTGCAAAAGGTAAAGGGCTTCAGAGCGAGGAAAGAGGCAGACAGTGGTCGATGGTATTGCATACCAGGTGAATGCTAAATGGGAGGGACAAGAACAACGGAACGGGAGGGGGAGGATAATGTGGGGGGTTTGTGGGAAGGGTTGCCTTGCAATGTGACCTGTCATCATGTCATATGCCACCCAGGAGGGTGGTCAGCCCCTCCTGCTGCTTCACCCTCGCTACCACCCACCGCCACAGGTGCAAAACCACTGGTGTTTTAACTACACATAGTAGTTTTGCTGGAGCGTGCAAGCACCTGTTAACAATGAAAGGGGGGTTGACAGAGATTGAGATTTAAACAGAGGCAAAGAAGAGATAAGGAAGGTGAAGTAAGGGGAAATTAAGGGGTGATAAAGGCTAAGCGAGGTGGCTGGCTGGGCAATGGGCATGATGTGAAGTCAGCTGGTTATCGTTTTCTCATTGCAACAATGCAAGTATATTCTGGTATCATTGTCTACGTATCTGCTATTGGCGGATGAGGTAGTACAACGGAGGGTCTGCTGCATGCTATATACCATGCAATGAATGGTCTAAGTATCTTCCTGCATTATCCCTTGTTTGCATTGACAGAGCCAACTAGTAGCGATATCTATAGGGTAAAAAAAAAGCCCCCACAGCCACTTCAGGAAACGTAGTCTTGACACGAGCCTCCAAACCTTTGATGTTTGACCAAAACTTCTTCAAGTGGGCCAGGCGCTGCAAGCACTTCACCACAACTTCATGAGAAACTGTGCTTTTACATAACTGTAATCCTTCCAAACTAGTCAGCTGCCCGATGTACTCCATGCCTGCATCGGTAATCCCCTCTCCTAGAGAGAGGATTTTGAGCCTGGTCAGGGAGGTCAGATACTGCAGCCCATCGTCCTTCACTCCACTTTTACTCGCCCAAAGCTGCTCAAGGCTTGTCAGCCTCCCCACATGCTCCATGCCAGCTGATGTGACACCCTTGCATTTGTGAATGACAAGGACCTTGAGCGAGGAAAGAGCTGTGAGGTGCAGCAGGCCAGCATCAGTCACATTGGTGTTGTTGAGATAGAGAAACTTAAAACTCCTCACTCCCCCAATGCCTTCCAAAGCACCATCTGAAACGGACGTGTCTCTCAGATCCAGCATTGTCAGTCCTGGCAGCCTGTAGAGGTGCTTGACGCCCTCTGCACTGAAGCCTGAGGACTTATTCAACCTTACTGTTTTCAGTTGGGTCATTGAGGACACAGCACCAAGGGCCGTGTCTGACAGGTTTTTGAGATCTTTCAATTCCAGGAATGTACGTCGTTTGGTCTTCCCACTGAATGCTGACGACACGGCCTGGAGGGAGTCCGCAGCAAGAGAAGGTACAGGCTTAAAATCAGACCAAAGTGCTGCAGACGCTAAGCACCAAGCTATAGCACACACGCACACACACACACAAAAAAAAAACTCACACAATCCAGATTCACCTATTCCCATCCCAGCAAAGTACAACTCACATCCAAAGCTCGTGTGCTTCCCCAATCGCCGCGTACAAGTGCGACCAAAGCCTCCTCCAAGGCAGCTTCAAGCTTGAGCACACGAAGGGTCTGCTCAGTGACCTCCCCTTTCACTGTAGTCACCTCCCCCCTCACTGCGTTCACCCCCCCCTGCAATGCTGCAAACTTCCTCTCCCTCTCCTCCACCCGCCCTCTCATCTCCGCCACTAGCTTTCTCTCAGCCTCCTCCGACTTCAATGCAGTTGACTGCTTGTGCTCGCCCAACTCCGCATTTACTGTAAACAACGCCGTCTTCACTGCAATCAGCTCCCTCTTCACTTCAATAAACTCCGTCTTCGCTGCAATAAACTCTCTCCTGTTCTCCTCCATCGCAGCAGTGGTTGCCCCATTCCTCTGCTCAGCAACAGTCAGCATGTGCCGCAGCTCATTCACCTCCTCCTTGTGTGCAGCCAGCTCCTCTCTCACTGCCGCTAGCACCGCCTCTTTCACCACATCGATCAGTGGCCCCATCGCTCTCTCAGCAGCCATGTGTTCCAATAACCTCAAACAACCCTCGTTCTATGACCGAATCGTGTGTTCAGCCGAATTCTTTACTGCAGCCTCGCGAAAATAAACAAGGCCTGGCAAGGTAGGGTGAAGTGTCTTGGAGGAAACGCAAAAAAAGGGAAAAGAATGCACAAAAGTGGAGAAATTATTACATGGGCATAAAGAACAAGGCAGACATGTGAATATGAGAGGTTTGAAAGAGTATAACAAGCAAGAGACTTGATGACAAGTTGTGAGAGAATGGTTTCAATGAGAGGAGATGCTAGTGCATACACATGCATTTGTGAGAGGGCAGGTATTGTAAATGAGAGAAGAGCGGGAGGGGAACGAGGGAAAGATGGGGGAGGAGGGGATAAAGCAGTGGATACAGCGAGGACAAGCAGGAACAACGGGGGGTGTGTGGAGAGTGGGGGGGAGAGAGTGGGGAGGGGGGCGGGAGAGGAAGAAGGGGAGAAGCGGCCAGGGATGCGATGCGAGTCATCCACTAAGTGCACAAGAGGGGACGAGGGAAAGCGGTGGAAAGAAGGAGCATTGGGCAATGGGGCAAGCGAATGCCAGGCGAGGCAATTAATTTAGGATCACATGAACTTGAAAGCAAGAGTGAACCAGCTTAATAAGACCGGAGACAATCGAGATGACACAGAGATGTAAACCCAAGGGCACATGAATAAGTAGGAAAGGACGGAGGGGAAGCAGTAATGAGTCAGGCGGCAAAGGAAGCAGGCAGGCAGGCGCTGAGCGAAGGTGCAATAAAGAGGAAGCGGGCAATGAGAGTATCCGAGGTTGCAAATAAGTGACAAGGATAGGTGAGGAGTGGATAGACTAGATAGGAAGGATGAAGCCGAATCAAGCGAGCATGAACAGGAGAAGGGTTGACGGGCCAAGAATTTGGAGGGAGAAAGAGCAGGGCGATAAAGAGGACAAAGGCGAAACATTCAGGTTCTGGTAGGAGGAACATTTGGACATGAACACACTGATGGAAGCAGCGATAAGGGATGCACGCAGAAAGAAGGTGAGATATGATGCATGGCAGAAGAGCGCAGTGAGAAGTCATCAGGGCAGAGAAACCTACCTCTTGTGGCGAGTGGCGAGAGAAGAGATCGATGGCGCAAAGTGGAACGCACGAACTGGTGATAGGGTTTCGGATAGCAGAAGCATGCAAGATTGGTTTGCAACATCAACAGTAACAGTAACAGTACGCGTAACATTAGACACATGCAAGCACACACTTGATGCCACACTATGTTCAGAAACACATGTGGACAGAGAAGACGTTGAGCCTAAGCAAACCCGACACCACTGGAGGAGTCACATCCATGCTGGCAGGGATCGGCTTGGTCCACTCTACGATAGCACACACGTGCTGCGTGCATACACAGACGCGATGCCGACATGTCCAATGCCAATGGTGCACTCAGGTGTTATTGCAAAGCTGGATGCTAAATCTGGCGCCCATATTTCCGTCCAGCCCATGCGTGGGTTGGCCTGAACCAGTTGCCGGTCCGCCTTTGACAATCCAGGAACTTCATGCTACCAGGCATGTCATGCATGCGCCGGGCCTGTTGCAGGTGCGCGTGTGACACCTGTGCCAAGGCAAGGGTTGCCTAGCTGTACCTACCTAGGCGCAAATTGCCGCCGATCTCGTTGGCTGCCTCTGAGAACGCAAGTGTGGCAACGCTCACTGCTGGGCCATTAACCGGTACATGCATGCAGGGATAAGACACAACACATGTGGAGAGGGATGGAAGAGACGAAGAAAGTTGATAGGTGCACTTTGAATCTGGTGAGAGAGGTGGAGAGAGGTATGCGCGATACTGAAACAGTGGTAAAGGGAGGATGCAGAGGGGATATCTAGAAATACCCACCTCACGGGACAGGATAATGTCAGAGAGAACAGCAGGCTGAAGTGGCTGCGCGAGCAGATGAAGAGAGAAGCACGATGGGCAGTAGGGATTGGGCGGCAGCTGAGGAAGTGGGTACAAGAAGGCACGGGGATGAGACGCAAGAGGCATGGGAGAGGGGAGAGAGAGGAGACAGTGAATACTACAATGGGAAACAATGTCACATGGCAAGAAGTTTGCCGTGCGGGTAGCACGTCATACGACAATCAGACGAAGTGAATCCCTGACCAGGGAGGAGGAGGAAAAGGAATTCTGCAAATCTGGTGAAAGAAGTATCAGCAGCATAATAAAAGAGCAGCAGAAGAAGCAAATTGGATAGGACATGAATAAACTGAATATCTACGATGGAAGCAAGCTGGACTGAAAGAGATGAGGTTATCAGAGGGACGAGCAGGACACGCTAAGTGTGAGACAGCGAACGCAAAAGGGCAAGAAGATTTTGACAATATTCGGCGGCAGTACCTGTTGTGTAGTAGGGAGGCAGCGAGGTGACTCTAAGAGCCAGGCGCTTCCCAGCCCACAGACTGACAAGTTCCGAGGGAGACCACTAACAAGTTATGCAGCGCAACAGGACGGCCGAGGCCTCGAAGTGGCAGAAGGGCAAGATGAGAGCAACAAGCTGTTTACGAGTGGGGCACCACTGAGAGAACAGCGTGCGTACCTGGTGTGTGGTAGGGTATCAGCACGGTCAGTTAGGAGCTAGGCGCTTCTCAGGCGACAGACTGACAAGCTCCGCAGGTGAAGGTGAAACGGCGCGTGGGAAGATAGACAGATGGCAGCAGTGGGAAGCAGGGATCGCAGCAGACAAATCGACACAGCCGCGCAGCCGAGGGTGAACGCGAGAAAGGTCTGCGAGAAAGAACAACGGCACAAGCCGAACTGGCGAGAAGATATGAAAGTGGGAACTGAATGTCCGAAAGAAAGATCTGGCAAAAGGAATCTGGACGTGGTGAAAAATCGTAGATGCTGGATTCAGAGTCAAGAGCGAAGGGAGGGAGAGGAGGGCAGAGAGGGGGGGTGGATGCTCACGCCCACGCCATCCTTCCGCGTTTCCCCTCGCAGGCCCATTCCAGTTCTTCGCGCCGCACGCCCACCAGGCGTGCAATCATCTCTCATCTACTCTCGCGCCGTTCGTCCGTCCTCGTCGTTCGGCGTCGCCATCGCACCATCCGAGTTCAGCCCATCGCATCCTACCGCCGAGCACCGCACAACACCCGCACTCCAACCCGCATGAGATTGAACGGCGTGACAACCAACGCTGGGACCCATCGACCCTTCGCGAGTCCCCTGGTAACGCCTTCATCCCTTCGCCCCACACTGGTCTCGATCGCCACAAATGACTCGTGACACGTGGCAAAACTGACAGTGGACTTGCGAGGGTCTAGCTAAATCTAGCTATTTGTTTGGTTCTACTTCTTTCATTTCGAAAGTGAAGGATTTGCGAAATGAGAAGCTCCTCAGCGTTGTATCGAATGAACTCTAACGAGAAATATAACGTTGTTTCAGGTTACAGGGGTTTGCGAAACGAGCAAGTCAGAATGAATTTCGCACATCCAGATCCAACCCCGCACTTCCATTCCCTCACGCTCCAACATCGCCCTCACGCTCTCCTCCCAGGGCATGGAAGCGTGACGACCAGAGCAAGCGGCATTGCTGCATGTGTGCCAGCAAGCGCGTTCTCCAGCCTCCTCGCTAAATGCACGCGGCGCCTCTCCTAGTCCGTCTCGAATCGCATCCTGTACATCATAGGAAATGATGTTTCGTTTGATAGTCCTTCCTGATCGCCGAATCCGTGATCTATACCGTCAGATTTGGTAGATCGACGTTCTCAGCCTCACGATGCCTCGACGTGATGTTTCCCGACGCAAGCACGCACCGGCGACATTCCCACCATCACATTGCTTCGCTGCGCTCGCGAAATCGGACGCCAAAGAATGTCGTGGAACATCCTGGGTTGGTGTAACGTTATGTATGCGAAAATATTGATGACCGAGTCAGGTAGCGACTCGTTGTGGCGGCGCGAGCATGAAGACATGCACTGCGGGATGAGAAATGGGCGGAAGGGAGAGAGAGGGGCGTCTGCTAGTGGCGAGGGGGTGAATGGATTCAGATTGGGTCAGCAAAGTGAAGCATCATGCCGTCGTTTGCGCAGCATTGCTGCGATCGCGTGCGACATGGAAAACGGTTTTCCACAGTGCGTGAAGGTTAGCGGGGGCAGAGAGGGGGGCGTCTGCTTCAGCCAAGTGGCGAGCAGGTGTATGGGTCGGTCGGAATTGGATAGGTCGGGATGATTGGGTGGCACAAGGAAGCAAATCATCATGCCGTCGTTTGCGCATCACTGCGGCGAACGCTACTAGCGTGAAAAAGCGGCGAAGCGGAAGGCGAGTGGGGCTTCCAGCTGATCCAACCCCAAACCCAGCTCCGACTTCGGCACTGCCATCGATCTCCTTCCGCTGTCCCTTCATCATCCCTCCTGTCGTCATTTCACTTTTTATTGCTCCTCCTCTCCATTCCTCAGTCACCTCGCTACTGCCGCCTGCTACCTCTTGTCGCCTCGCTCCTCCATCACACCCTCGCCCGTCCTTCACCTTCCTCAAGAATTTCTCTCGCTCGGAAGAGCGGCTCGCTCGCAGCTGGTAGCTCGCTGCTGCCACTCGGCACATCTCACCCACTCCGGCTACGGCCTCTCTACTACTCTGCGCCCACCTCCCACCAGCCTGCTCTCATCGCCCATAGCAGTACCAGGTGCGTCAATCCTTTTCTCTGAATGCATTTCCTCTTTGGTGATCACATGCAGCTTGCTGCACGCGGATCCCACCCTTGACACTCGCCGCCTTGTGCCGCCACCCGTTTCTCGGTGAGACTGGCTTGCCCGCACCCGACTCTCCCTTCACTTCGCCCTGCTGCCCTTCAGTGCACGCTCCACTTCATTCCTGATGGATATGAACCATGCCATATTGGCTTGTGGCATAGATTAGCCCTTCTTTTCTGCTTCATTCACGTCACAGTATCCCCACCCCGTTGTTTTTGCCCGTGCATCTATCTTCTCCAACTCCTGAAGTCAGACCGGATTGCCCTTTTTGGACCCTTGCTTCAATTACTCCTCCTTCGCTCCTGCTGACTGTAGCATCCCGATCCTCTCTCCGTCTTGTTTCCACCTCGGCTCCTGCTCCTTCACTCTCTTTCTTCGTTCCTTTCTTCTGCCACTTACTTCCCTCCCTCCTCCTCCTCCCCCTGCGCCTTCCCCTCCACCGTCAACCTCCCCCTCTCCCTCCCCCCTCCCGCCCCGCCCCTTCTTCCTCCTGCTCCTCAGTCCCTTTCTTCTCTTCAGTGCCTGGGGTGGAGCGCCTGGCTCTTAACTGCCACCTTGCTGCTGCCGCCTGCCACCTGCTGTCGCCTCGCCCTTCCCTCGCCGCCAGCCTCCAGCGATCCCCCGTTCGGTGCCTCCAGTGAAGCTGCCTCGCTCGCAGCATACCTGCACCTCCAGGTACGGCCTCGTCTCTGCTTCCCACGGCCTCACTTCTCCAAATGCGCCCTTCTGCTCTCACCATACCATTTGTGTCCTGCTCTATATGTCCTTATCCTCCCACTTCATTGTAGTAGGAGACGCATCTTGTCCTTGCCTGACCTGAATTCATCCCCTGTTTGGTAATCACATGTGTCTTGCTGCTAGCCCATCCCACATGTGTAGTTATAACCCTTGCCACTTGCCCTAGCTCCATGTGTTGCCACTCATTCGCCTGTGCGGCTGGATAGCAATGCCTACGTGCCCCATCTGTCCTCCTGTACAGATCATGCCATCCTCCTCCCTCTCCTGCTCCTGCTGCCTCCCGCCCTCCCTTACCTTGCCGCTCCTCACTGTGTTGTGCAGGCGCACGCCTTGCATTGGGCTCGCCCCGTCAGCCATGGCTCGGATGACTGCAGTGGCCATGCTGCTGCCAGGGCTGCTGCTCGCCCTCCTCGCTGCTGCCATCGCTTCCATTGCTGTCGTCCGCATCATCATGCCACTTGGAAGGGAATGTTTCTATCGTGCTTCAGTTACAGATGATGCGAGTGACTAGTGCAATATTTGACCTTCCGGGCCCACCGCCCAAGTTAGCAGCACATGAGTTCCACATCGATTGCCTCTCACCATGCATGTGTGCTCTCGTCTTCCTTGTTGCCTCTTACAGCCTCCACGTGACACCGACAGCGAGGAAGGCAACAACCCTCTCATGCTCCCGTCTGCTTCCCTGCCTCATGTAAGCCCTTGTTATTCTGTACTGTCAGTACTCCTATGCAGGTCTAGCAGATCATGGCTCGACACTGAATGTCTGAGTTGTTTTTTTTGCGTCTGTAGACGTGCGTGCATGTATTTATCTCACTCGCATGTCATCTGTTGTCTCTCTCGCAGGGTAACGCCACTGTGATGTGTGGAAATGCCACATGCGGACCTGACTCTCGGCCTAATGCCGCCAATGCCATCACCGCATCGCTTCAGCATGCCCACGCTCTCGACGTGCCTATTCACTCCCTCCACGCCCTGGTGCGTATTGGGATGACTGAGGCTCTAAAACTGCCACCTTGCTTTTAACAAAGTAACAATACTGCCGTTTGAGATTCTGCACATTTCCCCTTCCTCATGTTGGCTCTCACATGGCATGTACTCACACACATCAATTACTTCCCGGTCTTGTTCCACATGTGCAGTCTCCAGGTGCAATTCATCTGCTCGTGCTGTATTCTGCACTCGCTACTCTTGGATCACTGCTGTGGGGGATGGGCGTGACCCACACGCAAGTCAGAGCATGGGTGCATCAGCAGGGCTTGGCTGTGACGGCTGGGCTGATGAAGCTGAAGAGTGCAAGCAAGCGCCTCCTGGTATGCCATGCGCTCTGCCCTCCTTTGTGACCACTTTATTATCCCTGTCAAGTCCACTCCATTGAGCCTTCATTCCTGTTTCCCATTCTGCTGCATGTTTTTCTCCTGTCCCTCATCCTCCTTTCCCCTCCTCTCCCTCGCCTCACCATGCTGCAGCAACCTGGAATGTTCTCTCTGCTGCACAGCCTCAGGTGAGCTTCCCCCTCCTCAACATCATCACTCTCATGCTCTTGTTCTATGCATGAGCATGCCCTCACAAAACACAAGGTGTGTGGATCTACCCGTGCAAATCGCCTACGCACTACGTATGATGAGTTTGTGCCTGTATGAGTTGCCCATGCGCCCTCCTCTTTTACCCCCATCGCATGCTCCCTGCATCTTGCTCTTATCTCACTCGTGCGAGCCTGCATGCTTTCGTACATGTTTTCCCCGATTCGTACATGTCCCTGTGTTTGCACATTTCTCCCTTGCTTGCTACCTATGGCCCCGTCTTGTGTTGTAACGCTCTCACGCTGTTGTGTACATATATTAATCCCTTGACATTATAATCTCCACGCTGCAGCCAACCTCGCATCTCCCATGCTTCCTATTCTAATTTCACTCCGTCTTTCTCATGTTCGTCACCCTTGATTTCAATCTTGCGTTCCTTGTATTCTCCCAATTCTCCGTTTGAATTGAGTCCCGCTTTCGTGCCTTCTGCGATGTGCATTGCTGTGTTGCCATATGTGCCCATGTGCTCCATGCACAGGAAGCGAGCTTTTTCTGGGGTGCAGAAAGTGAGCGAGGCTGTTGGGACTATCGCTGCGAGGATGGCCGGAACAGCTGAGTTGAGTGAGGCGATGGAGATGAAAATGAGGGCGTTTACCATGCAGCTGGAAGAGACACGGAGGGAATTGGAGGGGGCTGAGAGGCGACGACTGGCGGAGATGAGTGAGATGAGAAGGCAGGTGGAAGAGAAGAGAAGGCAGACCAGATGGCTGTAGAATTGGGTGGGCACAAGCAGTCCACTAGAGTGCAGTTGGAGGAGAGGGAAAGGGAACTGGCTGCAATGCAGGAGCAGGTGAATGCAGTGAGGGGGGAGGTGACTACAGTGCAGGGCGAGGTGAATGCAGTTAGGGAGGAGGTGATAGCAGCAAAAGGGGAGATGGCTGAGCAGAAGCAGTCAACCACATTGCAGTTTGAGGAGGCTGAGAGGAGACGAGTGGCGGAGATGAGAGGGCAGGTGGAGGAGAGGGAGAGGGAGCTGGCAGCAGTGAAGGGGGGGCTGGCTGCATTGAGGGGGGAGCTGGTCGAACAGAATGTTCTCATGAAGTTGGATGTTGACCTGCAGATCAGGCAGAGTGAAGGCAATCAGAAGACAGCATGGGAGGTGAGTGCTAAGGGAACTCTTTCACAGGGCATGCATGGTTGACATGGCATGCATGGTTGACAGGGCATGCATGGTCAAGGTGTGCATGGTTGGATAGGGCGTGCATGGTTTGCTATTGTAACCATGATCGTTCCCTTGCATTTCATTCATTCCCCTCTCATTCATTATCACCAGCGAATCAAATCAGCATCATGAGGACCTAATTTGGATCTACAGCGTCTCAGCGGCCTTTCGGATGCCATGCTCGCCCATGTGTCCACAATGACGCATCTGAAAGGCATTCACTTGACCAATAGCTCAGGCTTCAGTTCAGAGAGCATCAAGCACCTCTACAGGCTGCCAAAGCTGGAGGAGCTAGTCCTCCAAGACACAGATGTCTCAGACAGTGCCTTGGAGGGGATTGGGTCCTTGACCCGTCTCAAGGAGCTTCAACTCTGGAAGACCAAGGTGACCGATGCTGGACTGGCGCACCTGTCAGCCCTGTCCTCTCTCAAAAAGCTCTGGCTTTCTTTCTGCAAGGGTGTCACAAATGCTGGCATGGTGCATGTGGGGAGGCTGACAGGGCTTGAAAGGCTTGATCTAGATTACACGGCAGTCACGAATATTGGGCTGCGGCAGCTGACTGCCCTGACCAAGCTGACAACTCTCTGGACGCCAGAAGGGGATGTATCTACGAATGATGCTGTGCGCAGGCGGATAGGCGGGTGGTGGTAGGGAAAAGTTGATTGTGACTGTCTAGGGGGGGACTGAGGAGGGGCGTGGAGGCAAGGGGTGTGAAGAATGAAGAGAAGCATGGATTCGGTGGAGAGCCATGGATTGTGCCCGGCTGAACCTGCATGTTGTACAGTTGGAATGGTGGACCTGTACCTTGCATTTGACAGAAGCAGGTCCAGGGCTGTTTGGGCAAGAGACTAGCGGATAAAGGGAGACTGCATGAGCCATGCTTTGGTTGCAGGCTGTACAGCGCTAGTTGATGTCATTCTGAGGATATACTGATATAGTGAGGTAGATGGGTGACGAATGAGGTGGAGGAGGGTGAACCTGGAAGAAGTGAGAGGTACTGTGTGAGCCGTGCCTGCCAACTGTTGGGTGTAGGATGTACAGATCCTCCATTTGTGGAGGAGGGAGCGTTTTTGGAAAAGAGGGACTACTGTGTATGTTAAGGAAATCGTGTACAACAGATGAACAGCTTGATCATATTTGATACTGTTTCAACATTAATTTACAATAGCAGCAACTCGTACCCTTGTGCGGTAGGTAGCATGGTAACATCTCAAGAGAATAGATGTGATACATTGTGCCTGTGAACTAAGCTGTGTATCACTTATCCAAGGTGTACATGACTTGCTTGAGACCATTGTAAAAACACTCTGTTGGCTGGGGTAGAGGGCAGCAGCGAAGCAGGAAAGGGTGGGTGGGGGCTGTGTGCATGGGAGAGGGGCAGATGTGATGAGATACATGCTGCTGTGCCCTTGATTTCCACAAAATACTTCCCGTATTCCCTCCCCCCCCACAAACATACTTGTGCTTCTCAATGCTTCTCACACCATCTCCCTCAGAACACATGCTGCGGATGGTTGCAGCTAGTAAGAAATGAGAGAACATCTCTAGAGCAGGCAGGAGATGCATCCCGCCTGAAATCATCAAGACATAGCTTGCGACGATGCATCCAACACGTAGCTGAATTAAAGCACAGTACTGGGATGATCGGAAGGCAGGCACGAGCAGAGGGCAGGCATCATTGACGACCTAGCATGGGTGAAAAGCTTGTATGGATGAAGGACAGGAATGAGTGAAGGGTGAGCATGAGTAAATGGCAGTAAAGTGACAAGGAAACGGATGCGTTCTCACATGAGAGTTATTTCCACATAAGACAGGAAACCTTTCAATTCGGAATTCTATTTATCCCTCTCCAACCAATCTGGCTTTGCCCTCTCCACGAGCCTCACCCACCCCCACCACATGCCATGCCATGATGGGGGAGCAGGGGCCAGGGGAAGAGAAGGTGGGGTCGAGGGGGTGAACCGTGGAACGCACCTCTCTGCTGCCACCGTCAACCATGCTCCACGGAGGGGATTGAGGTTGGAGGGGGAGGAGATACTTAAGAAATAATGGGGCGAAGGTGGGGTGGGTGGGGCGTGGAGGGGGTAAGTGGGTGATCACATATCAGGCGGTTGTGATATGGGAGAAAGGGAGAGTTGCTTCTTGAGGGTGCAATGGAAATGGTGCTGGTGCTAGCTTGGGATGGTGAGGGAGCAGATGGGAGGGTGATGGCAGGTAGTAGAGGAGGATAATCTTAATGGGGGGACACTTAATTCATGCATGGGATGATGTAAGGAGGGGCATGACATGATGGGATGAAGGGCATGGTGCAATGGGATCCATGGGGTGGTGGGATAAAAAAATGGGATCCCTCAACGAGACCTGTCGCCAGCATGTACCACATTCTTGAAGCCAAGTGAGTACGTACTGGTACATCGTTTTGCACAGCATCTTCAGTCATGCCATGTGCTTGTACCAGTGAGCCTAAAAGCCCTCATGAGACTATTGCATAAACCAATGTGCAGCTAGCTTTTGCTACCTCGCTTTACCCTACCCAACTCCGCCCGCCCCTGCTGCCTCGACCCACCTGCCGCTGACCGCCTCGCTCCTTCACCGCCTCGACTGCCGCTGCAGCTGCGGGTCGTGCCTCTGCCGTGCTGCCCAGGTGTGCGATTTAGAAATCAACTGGCTGGATCTCACAACTAGTCCAAGGCAAGACACTGTTGGTGTGGGAAGGGAAAGGTCAGAGGGGAGGGAAGAAGGTCTCGGCATGCTATGCTACTTAGAGAGGAGGGCGACATTTGATGATGGCATTGCACACCAGCAAACTAGAAGCATGGTGATGAGATGCATACCAACGAATTAGATTGTTTCCTTTATTTGGTAACATCCCTGCTGCTCAGACTGCCCTCCCTCCCTTCCATGGGTAAGCCAGCCTCCCTCCCTCCCTCCCTCCCTCCCTCCTCTCCGCCTCAACCATACTTGTGGTTGACCGCCTTCACCGCCACCACTGCAGCTGCATCCCATGGGTCTGCCACGCTGCCCTGCTGTGCTTCATAGAGATGAACTGGGCTCCCTTCTCGCCTGCCTCCACCCCACTCGTGGCTGACAGAACTCACCACCACCATTGCCGCTGCAACACTGTTGCTTCCAATAACCCTGCCATGCCGCCCGGCTGTATGTCCCAGCAATGAGTTGGGCTTCCTTATCGCCTGACTCCACCCCACCCCCCGATAACCGCATTCACCGCCACCACTGCTGCTGCTGCAGCTCACTGGCTTTGTGTCACGGCCCCGAGCTGGGCTCCTTACGGCCGATACAAGGCAGATGCTGTTGGTGTGCTGGGGAGTGCTTCGGGGGGATGAACAGAAAAGGGGTGTGCTGTTGGGTGAGAAGAGGAAGGTGGAGGATATCTGATGCTGGCATTGCACATGGTAAGGCAGTGCTCGCATTCATTCCGCAATGTCAGAGATCGAGTGGCAGAGCACCATACTAGGCCTGGAAGGGTGAAGGCGCAAAGGAGGGAGGCATCACATGACAAGAAAACTCGGACCATGCATCTCTCGAGGTATAGTCACATCTCTCGAGGTATAGTCACATCTCTCGAGGTATAGTCACATCTCTCGAGGTATAGTCACATCTCTCGAGGTATAGTCACATCTCTCGAGGTATAGTCACATCTCTCGAGGTATAGTCACATCTCTCGAGGTATAGTCACAACTCTCGAGGTATAGTCACAACTCTCGAGGTATAGTCACAACTCTCGAGGTATAGTCACAACTCATCTCTCCGCCCCATCAATGTGAAACACCATGGAAGCTGTCGAAACACACGAGTTCACTCGCCACGAGGCCCAGGTAAACTCACCAGCACAAGAAGTCTGAGACGTTTCAAAAACCTTGCCACAAGGCCTAGCCTAGGTAAACTCACCAGCACACGAGGTCATAATCCTTGCCTCCCGCGCTGCCTCCAGCCCAAGCAGATTTATACACTTTCGAAGAGACTGGAAAGCACAAGCCACACCCACTGTAAACACCATGTCGTACTCCTTACTCCATCCTTGGATGCTCGTACTGCCCACTTGTTCCTTGGATGAACATCTCTACCGCCATGTCGCTCATGAGATGACACCCAGCCTGTCGAGCATCCTCACAGTGATGGCCATCCGGTTCACCACGTTGCCCTCCTCTGTCCAACGCACATACCAGCGCCCAGCCCCAGCCGCGGCCGCCCCCTCTCCTCCACCCCTCAGAAGCTGTTGGTGCTGTTGGGGTGGAAAAGGGAAGGAAGTGAGGGGGATAGTGTGAGGGAGGTAGACGAATAATGATGAGCGAGGAGGTGCCAACATTAATTATTCCATCAATGCAAACTAGAGCCACAAGCACCACATTAGGTGGGGAGGGGGCGAGGGAGCAAAAGTTGTAAGGCATGGCAGCAACATCAATGCATGGAGGAAGAGAGAGAGGTTGATAAAAAATTTCAGATCTCTCTGCATACTAAGCATCTCTCACCTGTGCGTCGGCACTTCGCCCTGCCTGCAATCAGATGAGAAGCCACCTGCACGCATGGCATGTGTGCTGCCATGTGCCTGCAGATGTGCTGCCATGTGCCTGCAGAAGTGCTGCCATGTGCCTGCAGATGTGCTGCCATGTGCCTGCAGGTGTGCTGCCATGTGCCTGCGGGTGTGCTGCCATGTGCCTGCGGGTGTGCTGCCATGTGCCTGCGGGTGTGCTGCCATGTGCCTGCGGGTGTGCTGCCATGTGCCTGCAGGTGTGCTGCCATGTGCCTGCGGGTGTGCTGCCATGTGCCTGCAGGTGTGCTGCCATGTGCCTGCAGGTGTGCTGCCATGTGCCTGCAGGTGTGCTGCCATGTGCCTGCAGGTGTGCTGCCATGTGCCTGCAGGTGTGCTGCCATGTGCCTGCAGGTGTGCTGCCATGTGCCTGCAGGTGTGCTGCCATGTGCCTGTGGAATTGTATATTTCACAACAGAATCAAGTATGG